AGATGTCACCAGAGCTCATCTCAATCTCTCCTGCCGTCGTCAGTCATCTTTGCGGGACGAATCCGCGGCAAAGTCACGCGCTCGAAGATGTAGCTTGCCATCAATCGTCGATTAGTCGCCATCCAGAGCCTCCGCAAGCAAGCAGAGATGGTACCCAGATGATGCCAGGCTTCGCGAAGTTTGTATCGAGAGCTCTTGTGTACACAAGTGAGCAGATTACCCATATTTTGTCTTGGGCGCAGAGCCGAGTCTTGCACGAGGAGCAACCTCTGTAGGGGTTCGGAGAAAGCCAGAGACGACCGCTCTCGAGATCCCGCACGTTATCTTCTGTTACCGTGCTGTGCAAGCATCTCCAGGGCTGGTCGTACCCAGACGGCAGTCTCTCGTGGCAGAGCTTAGTCGACACCGTGAAGTTCCCGAGCAGGGCGCAGACACCACCATAGCCCAAGAGCGCCCTGGAGATGACTTGAAGCGATAGTTGAGAAGCGTTCGAACACAGGGAGACGCCATAAGCCGACCGCAAATCCCCGCAAATCTCGGACGGCTGCGGGTAGGTAAGTGCTGAAGTTCGGACAATCCACATGGGCAAGGAGCTGAATGGGAAATGCCAGGACCGAGATCCCGCAAGCCCATCTAAACTGACTGGATCCAAATCACGCAGGGAGCATGAGAAATTGATGCCCTGATCTTCTCTTGATGTCTTGGTTGAGCAGGAGTAGCTGTCGGGGCTCGACTTGACAGTTGTTCGATTGCACGACTCACAGCCGAGAGCCGAGCCAAGACAGCGCAGACACTTTTTTGAAGTGTGTTCAAGCACGGCCGTGAAGCGTTCGAACAGCACCCTGCAGAGAATCTCGGAAGACGGTCATGATAGGTTCGTGCTTGGACTCCACCGCAGGCCAAGGGGTCGAGCGGTGTCCGGAAGACTTGACCGAAATCCTACCATTATTCCTGAGATTCTAGGCCTTGATCTGTCGTTTCAGCGCAGGACCGTGTCGAATCAACTGCTTCGGAGAGTCTTGGTGTGGTCGCCAGCTGTCCAGTTAACAAAATCTTCCGCAGCACCAAGCATAGTTGTCAGGACCTGACAGAGCCCCAGAGAAGGTCGCCGCAGGCAGCAGTGTCCTTCCTCTGGCTGGAGATGATGTCGCTCAGCGCACCTTGTCGCTGCTGGTAGTATGGTGGCGAAGTGACTTTTGCTGGATTTTCTTCCAGCGTTATCGGTATCGGAGAGGTAGAGTCAGGCCATGAGGGAGCTCAAGCGTTTGTCTGAGAAGGGATTAGCGTCCGAAGAAACCTTGAGGGTTCTCTCAATTCTCTCTGGCTTCAGAATGATGTCTCCCCTAATCTGACATGAGCAATACTGAGACGTGCACAAATCCGCTTGCTTTGGTATCGGATGCCGGTGAAGCGAGCAGGAGAAATGAACGGTGAGGTATTGATCTCACATCAGAGTCTGGCCATGCTTGCATCAGCGTCTGTTTGTGACTAGGTGTTGTGGTTGTCGTCTCAGGTAAGTTTGAAGAACGAGTAACCACCGATCAAGCAGAAGAGGTCTCGCAAGACACATGACAGCTTCCCGAATCTCTTCTTCTTTCGCTCTCATGCCTGCAGCACATGCTCTTGTCCTCATCCACTTCGATTCTGGGATAGTCGCATCTTGAATGAAGATTGCATGACGAAAGGTCAGTTCAGAAGTGCATAGACCTTCTGCGCGCACCGGAGCAGCGCAGAGACAGTCCGAGCAAGGCGGAGCCTGTTGCGAGTGATGCGCTGTAGCAAGGATTCGTTGTCCAGTCATCGGCGTGAGTGAAGTCGAAATGGCGCAGGAGTTGGGTAACTCTGGGTGGACTGGAGAGAGACCTTCCTGTTGTCGCAGTTCGCCGGTGACTGAGCGGTGAGTGAGCAGTGAACCAACAGCGAGTAGCGAGGCTTCTGACTGACAATGAGCCGGAAGTCGTGTCTTTGCGCTGCTCCTACAGGCGATGTTGGCTCTCTATCCTGCGTACCGGCCTCGAGCACTTCTACGCGCGACGAGATGGACGAGGCGGGCGTTCCAGAAAATTCAGCACCGCGGAGACAAATTCGAGATCCACGATAGCGCAGTCGTTGTCAGCTGTTTCGTGGCCAGCATCGCAGGCATCTGCACGAAGAATGAGGCGCGATGCGATCCGCGCCTCTCGATGTTCACAGTTCGGAATACCTGAACAGCATTTATCACAAGCAGGATGGAGAGCGGACGCTGTGAGCGCGAGTGCATGGGTCGATTCTACACTTACGCTCTTCGTCTGTGTTACGCGCCCGTCGCTGTTGGTGCACGGTGATGGCTACATCGACCTTTGGCTCAGTGCGCAATGGACGGTCGGCCTACGCTGAGCCTCCGTTGCAGACGAAGCGACCGCTGATGCCACATTTGCCGCGCTTCGATCGCAGCCCTGTGGCAATGCTGTGAGACTCTGATGTCTCTGGCACGGTCTCTCAGTGTCTCTGACGCGGTTTGGATCGCAGACAAGTCATGCTCTCTGGATCATGGCTGAAAAGAATTCCAATCCTGTCGTGCCATCCAGCTGATCTGGCCGATATACAAGAGATCGCGAACGCGCAAGAGATGTTATCGACGTACAGGGCACAGAGCATTCGACTCTGGTGCTGTTGCGTTGCTGATTGTTGGAAAATCTGCAGGTCGCTTTACACCCAGCCATTGCTATAGGTCGAAGACCGGTTTACTGTTGGACTTTGCGGATCACCGACCATGTCAGGGTTCAGTGCCGAAGCACGTCTCTCGAGAAGCACAGAATGTTCGCCAGACTTCCGCTCCAAGCCGAAAATGCACTGAAGTGTGCACCAAAAACGAGATACCAGGCCTATCAGCTCCCTACCTCCGCGCACCCGCTATCCGAAATGGACAATCGTGGGTGCTCTGGAGACTGCAAGCTCTGCGGGTGCTGTTCTTACCCCTGAATTACCCGCTCTGCTGGTCTTTGTGGGAACACGGTACCGGAAAGTTTGAGTCTACACGACACAAGACATTCACGGCAACAAGGCGCACCAGGAACAACCTTGAAAGGCCTGCGTAATGTTGCTGAGCTCTTGCACTTTCGCTCGAAGGCGTCTGCACTTTGCGCCACCCCGTTTCAGGCGCGTGGCGCATCGTCGAATGCTCAACTGCCACTCCCCCGAATCTACGCGGTGAATCGGCACTCGAGACGCAATAATCGTCAACGTGCTGAGTATCATATCAGAGAAAGGGGTGCTGCATTCTCTATCGACTCTGGTGTATACGTGACGCCGCCGGTTGATGTCTCGCAATTACCAGACTGCCAAGACCGGTGAAGTCCATGTACGAGCTTCAACACTGCATCAGCGGGCGAGTGCGCCTTGACAACTGAAGCCTAGCTTTGTGCGCTGCTGTACGTTGTAGCGTTCTAGTCACTGCTTTGGCTTCTTCGCGGTCATCGGAGTTCGCCTAGCTATAATGCTCACGTGGACAGCATCCAGGCTCAGCAGAAATCCTGCCAGAGAAGTAGGCCGACGGGTGGAGCACGGCTCAGCGAGTTCCTACAGCATCTCAAGGTACCCTGATGACCTTACTGCAGCCCGTCAGCGGAGGTTGTTTGTAAATGCAACCTCTCATCAGCTCATACTACGGATACCGGGAAAGTTCGACACACGCGACGGCAAGGCAAACCGTGAAAGATCAAATGGTCCCAGAAGCTCTACCAGTCGATGCTTGATGCCCGCGATACAGAGCAGACTCAATCCGAACTGCCAGGGACTCCGGATTGCCGAGAGTCTACAGCATGAATGGCATTTTTACAACCGAGATTGCAATCTAACATTGTGCGCAGGGCACCTGAACCTATACTGGGCGAGTAGTTGAGACGTCCTAAACCATCGATGTGTCGTTGGTTTGCTGCTCCAGTCCGCTCCGGTTCACTATGACCTGCCGAGAATGTGACATTCACCAACTTCGACATGTATCGGACCCCCTTCGAAGCTAATGGGTATCCTGGGTAGCAAAATGCAATCCGCAGTCGCAGCTGTGTCATCCCTTGCTCATTGTCGTCGGAACAGCTGGGCACTTCCATCTCCATTCGCTGGAAGAGCCGTCCACGCAGTTCAATACCTCTCCGAGTCAACATCCTTACTGGCCAAAAGAGACCAGAGACTAGCTTAGCGGACTGCGGCGACGCCTGTTGTTGTCGATATCATCTCAATGGCCCAATGGAAGTCGGCGCCAGCCTGCTCCGGTCTCTGGGAAAGCACCAGCCCTACAACTCTCAAGAAGGGAGGTAGTTTTACCAGTGCTACTTTGCTGCAGGACAACAGCAGCTGTTTCCGTGACATATTCCCCGCACTATGTCATTCGCACAGCCTCCTACGCACTGGCTTACGCCAGAGCATGGGGATGCTCCTGTGCTGCCGGCGTTGCAGTCTGGTTGCCTCCCTCGCTCATACACGGGGCTTTCCGCCAATCCACGCATCGCTTCTGCACAGTGTACAGGCTTCGACAAGCGACTACGCAATCTCCGATCAGGGTTTGGTTCGCTGAGCAAGAACAACGCTGCTCTGGAAGCGGCACAGACTGGTCCTACACTTCCTGCATTGATTCACGAATGCCTCTCATCAACTCAAAGGGACGCTGGCCGAGGCTCAACGCGGAATCAGAGCCTGAATGAGAATGTCCACGGCCTCTAAAATAGGAGAGAATGACAGAAGTCCTGCTGCACTGATCTGTTGATGCTCGAAATCCTCTGTGGCCATGAAGAATATCGTTTCTTCGGCAGCTCGAACTTCATATGCTGGACGGCTCCTAGTAGGAATCTGCGGTTGGCTTGTTTCATATCACAAGAAGATAAGAAGTAGTGAAAGTATTGTAGGGAGATAATATACATCACATATAGGCGAATGCGAACGATCAATGGTTCCACAGGGCAGCAAATCGTCGGTGAGCATAATACTGAGACCGGCTTATACCCTACAACTTCATTGCAAGCGAGTCACTGCTTGTTTGATGCCACCACAGCAAGCCCGTCGATTGCATTGGCCCCATCACGAAATTGTCTCTGAGCTCGCACAAACCAGTCGACACTGATGATCAGAATGATGATCCCGTACACGGCTGAGACATAGTTCATATCTATTGAGCGACGTTAGCACTGTTACTCCATGGCTTGGGGTAGAGGACTTACTGTCAGCCTCCACTGGCATCACAGTCGGCAATGAGTACATGACGATTGCGAAAGTGGTGAAGCATAGCAGGACGATGTTGGCAACCAGGCCTAGCTTTCCTAGCCAAAAAGGGCCATGTCTGATGTTGTCCCTTCCCTTGAGTAGTAGAAGGGCCACAGGAATGCAATATGATACGTAAGGTAGGACGATGCATGCCGAGATGATACTGTATCAGTTAGTGTAATTTCACTGGTGGGGCAACAATACTCTCTCACCTGGCTATGGCGGTGTAGGAGCCAAGGTATAAACAACCTAATAGTGCAACGATCGCGCAACAAACAGCATGGGCCCGAATTGGTGTTTCGAGGGTCGGGTGGACCTTTGAGAGATAGCCATGGAAAGGGATGCCCTTGTCACGTGCGAAAGACCAGCATAACCTGGATTGCCAAGTATGGCACGCAATCTGACATCCAATACCGGTAGCGATGACTAAAGCTTCGAGGACGATAGCTCCGGCCTTGGTTTGGAGTGCCTGAAAGAATAGCTCCAATGTCGGTACACCTGATCATCGTTAGCGGCGCTCCTTTCAAAGTTCAGGCAATCTCACCAGTGGAAGTGTTGACAATGTCATCAAAGTTATTCAAACTGTACATCATGGAGATAGAGAAGGTGAAGGATGTGACGAAACCGATAACGACGGTGCCGATGATACCGATCGGGATAAGCCTTTCCGGCCGGTGGACTTCTTCTGCGATATGTACCACCGTGTCGAGACAAGAGAACCCCCAATTAGGGTTGATCAGACCGACGATGAAGGCGATGCCAGATGAAGACCAGCCGGTGTTGTTGATGAAAGTTGCAAAGACGAACTTTGCATCGGTATGTGATGGTGCTTTGGCCGGGACCGTGATCAGGATCACGACAAACGAGATCAGTGTGGTGTACAGAGTAACCGTTGTGACCACCGGTAACATTCGTCCATAACAGTTGAAGATGAATGCGAACAGGTTGACCAGTTGGTAGGCAACAAATACATGCCAGGCTTGAATAACGCTGTGAAAGCCACTGGTCAGCATGCATTTAGGACTGAACAAGTAGGAACATCTCACAAATGAGGATGCGTAAGTTGATAGCAGCCGACACAAGCTGAACCGACTGATAGAGCGACACTTGCGGATGCAAAGATTGAGCCTGCCCATACGAACCAGCCCGTCAAGTAGGAGAGAAACCTCGCAGATCGCTCCGGCGCAAGTTGGCTAACCCAGAAATGTTGACCGGCGGCATTGGGGTATGCAGATACCAATTCCGACAAGGAGATCGCGATTCCCATCCCAGCGATGAAAAGCCCAATGATGCCGTAGACGAAGAGAACTGGACCTCCAGAGTTGATTCCTGTAACCATAGCCGCAGAAACAGCCCACCAGGAGTTGGTGAGAGAGAACCCAAGGCCCAAAACTGACCAAACAGAGAAGTTCCGGCTCATCTCCTGCTTGTATCCCATCTCCGCCAGCCTGTGCTCATCGTTGTCCATCATGAGCTCTGGAGGGGGCTCGATGGCCGATTGAAGTTTCGGTTTTTGCATATCCATTACGGATGACAGAGGGAGGAAGTGAGAGGTTGTAGTAGATGAAGAGACCTTCTACTGATGAAGTAGGGGCAAACAGTGGAAGCAAGTTTCAATGACACGAAGCGTCTTGAAGGCGAGTCCAGACGTCTTTATCGCATCTAGCCACGCCAGGCTCAAGCAAAGGAGCCATCATAGATTCGAAAGGGGTGCCAGCCACCCGTGGCGTGGGAGATATCTGGGGAATGGAGGGAAGATGGAGGACGGGCTGGCTCGATGACAGGATAGGTAAAATACCAGGATGGTCTAACCGCTTCAGGCGAAATGACACGACTTCTCGATAAGGACAATCAGCTTCACGTCAACCTTCACACTGTGCCACAAACCTCCATTCGCGGTTAGCATTCAACGTCAACCGAATCGTATTCCCTCTTTCAGGAACTCGCGATGCTGCAGCCACGGGTTTCCATGACTCCACACGCAGGCCGGGTGTCCGGGACCATGTCATTGTCTGGTCGCATGTATCAACCGTGGGCGTTCCCTCTGCTTTACCCAGAAGTGATTGCCTACCTTGACACGGGTATAATTGAAGTTTCCAAGCACTCAAGACTTCCAGTTTCCACGATCATTTTGACTCTCGCAACATGGCTGTCGCGGCAGGTCTACTTTCACTCATAGCCCTGTTCGGGTCTGTGCTCGCGTTGATATTTCGGTTCATCATCCATCCTGCTTTCTTCTCACCATTGTCAAAGATACCCGCTGGGCATTGGACAGCACACTTCTCTCCACTATGGATTCTCTACATTCGCTGGTCGCAACAGGAAAATGCGACCATTCTTCAACTCCACGAAAAATATGGCGAGATCTTGAGGCTCGGGCCCAATGAGCTCAGCGTGAACTCCTACAAAGAGGGGCTGAAGAAGATCTACCTGGGAGGCTTCCCAAAGAACGACTTTTACAAGAACAGATTCACAAACTACGAGTAAGGAGGAAGCCCCGATTCTGCTCCCGACCAGTGAACTGAATGTCTACAGGACGACGAATATGTTCTCCATGACCAACAGCAAGGAGCACTCAGACCGCAAGCGGATGCTGTCCCACGTATACTCGAAATCTTACGTCCTCACTTCTCCGACCACCAAGGCGGCGACCAAAGCTCTTCTGTATGATCGACTCCTTCCGATTCTAGAAGAGAGCTCCCGCGAGAACAAGCCCCTCGAGCTGCTCGAGCTCATGTCGGGATACTCTATGGATGGCTTCATGACCTATCAATTTGGTCTGTCATTGGGCACCAACTTCACCCAAAACGCAGAAGAGCGGAAATGGTATCTCACCCAATTCTTCAAGCGCAGACCGTACCTCTTCTTCATAACAGACACGCCAAGAATCGTCGAGTTCTTTGCTCGGTTTGGGATTCGGATAGTGCCCAAATGGGTTGACGAAGCAACAGATGATCTCGAGTCGTGGCAATTGAAGATCTGCGACAAAGCAGAGTCGATGCTCTCAAGCAACGAAAAGATCCAAGATGCCGAGTATCCCGTTATCTACGCTCAAGAGCGACTGGCGCTTCGAAAAGCATACCCGAAGATGTCGGTTCTCAATACACCTCGGAAGTCGACTCAGACGTACCCCTTCCGGTATGAGATTGCAAGCGACATGTATGACCATAACGCTGCTGCCCACGAAACAAGCGGTGACACCCTGACCTATGTTCATTATGAGTTGGCTTCAAGACCTGCGCTCCAACAATTATTGAGAGAGGAGCTGATGGCTCTTGACCCGCCACTTCTCTATCCCGTCGAAGCTGGGTCAGAGATCGTCTTGCCTGATTTCAAGGCTGTCGATGGGTTGCCACTTCTAGACGCCATCGTGATGGAGACTCTCCGCCTATGGGTGGCTGTTCCAGGTCGCCAACCTCGTGTCACCCCGGATACAGGTTGTACAATTGCAGGCTACGACATTCCGCCAGGTGTGTTGATTCAATGCTATGCCTACGCTCTCCATCGCAACCCAGAGGTCTTCCCAGAGCCAGAGGTATGGAAACCGGAGAGGTGGATCAAATCGAGCCCTGAACATCTTGCGGAGATGAAGCGTTGGTTCTGGGCGTTCGGGAGCGGAGGAAGAATGTGCATAGGAAACAATATCGCTATGCATTGTGAGTAAAAACCTTTGGATTGGAGTTCGATGTACTGATTCTTGGTCTAGCAATGAAGCACGCAATCGCAGCCACTTACACGAACTATACAAGCACCATTCATGAGCACGGGGATATGAGTCTTGTTGATGGCTTTACGGCAGGTCCGAAGGGCAACAGGCTCAATGTTGTTTTTCATCACGTCTAGAGGAATCTGCACTAGTGGTAGTGGATAGTGCTCAGACGAAACATTTCTCACCATTGCTCTGCTCCTCCTGAGTCCCGTTTCAGCTTCTAGGGCTTGAATTGCTCTCTCCGCTCTCCTTGCTCTGCGCCCGCGACTGCGTTTTCAGGGCTGTGATGATGTCTTGCCGTCATCAGGAGCCGAGCTCTCGACATTCTCTTCGAGCTCGCATCAGGATGACATGAGCGTGTTCTCGAACAAACTCTTTTCTACAAGACGTTTGCCTCATCCTTCTGGACATCTGAGTAGCCAGCTTCATGAACAGGCTCATGATTTATGCACGGATGTCATTGCGGTCATGGATCCCTTTCTTCGAAACGAATCTCACGTACCACCTTTGATGGTCTGTGTTGCAGTTCCCGATGCATGTCATCCGCTCGACGATGATAGCTGACTTGTCTGGGCACTTAAGATTGTCTCCGGTGATGCTCCCGAGTGTCGGTAGGCTGCTGCTGGACGGCAACCACATCAGCGTGACCATCAATTGCCGAAGAGGAGCGGTCCGCAACCTATGCGGACGGTGAGGAGGAGTTTGACGATGCGTGTGTTTGAGTCCTTCAACATAATCGTGTCCACATTGCTCGGCTGCCTAGCCAGGATGCCCGTGGTCGCGGAGCCGGTGCATACTAGGGACATGTCCAGCAAGTCTCACTATACTGGTCGCAGCGCGCATTCTTGTTCGTGGCTATAATCCAATAATCGATCGTATCGTGTGCCATGGTTATTACAGGTGTTCGTTCTGGCGCTCATTGTGTCGTTTTGTCCACCTTGAAGTCCGCCTGCACACACATATGTTGCTGTACCACAAGTACGTTTCTGGCCCGCGACTCCGTTTCTGGGTCCGCGACTCCGTTTCAGTCCTTGTAGACAGTGCTGTGTCCTATCGGCAGCATCTCCAGTCCATTCGCGGCATCTCCAGTCCACTCGTGGCATCTCCAGTTTGTCAGCAGTTAGAGAATGCGAACTGGGTCGAGACCTCGAAGCCATTCACAGTCACGCGCACGGCCGAGAGCATTCGCCCGCGAGGATACTCGTGGACTCGAAGTTCCGCACGGGGTCAGCAAGCTGCCGCACAGAGTGATGGATAGGGCCAATTTCCTGTAACGGGCCGAGGATTGGAAGTGTTCCATGCGCAATTTGAAGCCCGAGACATGGTCGCAGGCGGAGACGCTCCTCACAAGGGCAGGGCAATACGTTGCCGACGATGATTCATGTCGGCGTCTTCAACTCGCACTTGGTCAGGGATCCCGCGACGACAAGAAGGCGGCCCCAGGTGCAAAGAAGTGACAAAGAGTGTGCTATGAACCATGGCTGTGGTCGGCGAGAGGTGCGGCGGCACAATGAGCTGGAGGAGAAGGATCAGATGAAGGAGGCAGCACCAAGATGAGTTGGGCCATTCAGGCGACAGCACGAACCGCTATGAGCTCGGGGCGAACAGACTGCGTGAAGAGGCAGTTGTCACGGCCGCGAGGGCGTATAGGAACAGCGACCAGGCCGTGCTCTGAGGCCGCACCGAGCCGCGAAGCTTTCGGGGACTTCGTCTTGTGTGGGCCTGGGGCAGCCGATGAGGACCCAAAAGTCGAACGCCGTTCGTCACTATCAGGCGAAGATCAAACGCAACGGTGCATGCGATGAAGCCAACATGCTCGAGGACAAGAACAGCGCTTAGGCTAGCTATGTATCGCGAATATGCCGGAGATCATGTCTCTGCTTTGCGTAAGCTCTTATTGTCAAACGTCTTGTGGAGATGCCGGTGATCAGCTCTTTGCCGTTGCGCAGGTACTTGTTAGCGAGTGTCGCCGTGTCCCTCATGGTCGGTTCCGTCTTTCTCATGGTCGTCGTCACATCATGGGACCGAAGCTTGTCTGGGATCATCCAGAACGCGTCCTTCACGGACCAAGAAACTGTCGAAGCGACCTAAAGGCTGTCGAAGCCGCTGGGAGAGATGTCACCTTCGGCAGGTTGCGCATGGAGAATGAATACTAGGGTGGTGCTCCGCACTGCTTGATTCGTCTGCGCCCAGTGCGATATCGTGGGCATCATAGCCTCCGCCACTATCTTAGCGGCTCTGGAGTCAAATTTGATGACCGGCATTCCGGCAGCTTTGGCCATGTGCAGCTGGTGCTTCGTCGGTGCTCGCGATGGAGACGACAGCTTCATTCGAGCCCTTTCACTGAACGTCTTCAACAGCTGGGGGAACGGCCGTGCCCTAACTGGCGAGCAGGGCGCACGCACAGGAACTGAAGTGAAGCCTGCTAAGCTTCTCCGGGACCAGCGAGAAGTTGCATCAGCTTATTCAACCTTGAGCAGGATCTCCGGACTTCGTTCGAGCTCTCCGGCGAACCTTCGCTGCTGAGAGACCTGTGGAATCAAGAGCTGCTCATCCCTACAGCAAGGAACGTGCACCCAAGATACGCTTGCAAAGACCGCAAGAGATCCTGGAGTGCCGTTTCGAGGCGCATACAATCCTCCGTCGTCGTCGCTAAGCTGCTTCGGTCTCTGAATTCTGCTGGGGAGTTGTGGTGCCTCTGCTGGTACCAGCTTGCCAGCAGCCAGGAGAGCATGTCACCCGCGCAACCTTGACCTGCGAACTTTTCGGTGCTGTGCATTCTTGCTAAGGTGCACCTGGGACGATTGGAGGACAATAGCAAAGTCGTCGTCGCTGCTGAAAAATTACCAACGAAGTCGGAAGCTCACGTCACGTCCTTGTCATGCCAGGCTTGAGCAACCAGGAGCAGTCAGAGATTCCTCAGATTTGGACCAGCAGACTTCAGAACGACCTTCAGGCTGCTGCAACCCCTCTATTTGCATGCGCTTAGCTGAAGTGGTCTCTCGCGCAATGGTCGATGGCTGCCGTAGCGTACGGTGCACGGTTCGATTTGATGTGGAGCAAGCCTGAGAGCTGCTTGTGACCTAAGCGCCGCTTGGAAGATATCTGTGTAGCCGCTCTGCGTGAATATGGGCGCGCAGATTATCGGGAGGGCATGCCATTTCCAAATGTAATGTCCCGTAGCAATATGAGCGAAGAGCTGTGTCGAGTTTCGCAGGAGAAATGCGCAGCGCCACAACGAAGCCGCAGGCTCGATTACCGAGCGCAGAAAAAGGACTGGGTACTCTGGATGCCATGTGGGAGCATCTCCGACGTGTGAGGTGTGCGTGGATGTTGCTCTGCTTCGAGACAGTCCTGAGAGGTGGCCGCAGGGTGATTTTGAGCCGTTGCAAATCAGAAACATCCAGAGATGGTCAAAGCCAAAGCAAGAGGCTGATTGGTGCTGCTTCTAGTGCAAAACCCTTATCCCCGAAGATGTGTTAGGCCCGCGTTCGTCACTCGATCCAGCTTCCGTCTCCTCGCCATGGCAAAAGACACCACGGCTAACCCTTCAACAAATACTTCAGCAACACAAAATCAGGTCTTTCGCGGACTCTCCGATGACTGCAACGTAGGATAGCAAGCGCATGTGTCTGTTGACGTTGATTTCTCGGTTCGTCGCATATGTTTTGCCACATGTGATCTGACTGCTCGCTGGTGAGATCGGTATGTCCACATCACGGATGGCGGCGAGGAGAGCCCCGGAGCGAGTCTTGTAGGGTCATGCATACGTCTCTTGATAGTCCCTGCCATTCGCTGATTGTGGTTGGCCGCTGTACAGGTGAGCGCGCCAAGTTCGGTGGCTTCAGGACGAGTGCCTGTGGATTCGTCGGAGCCTAGGAAAGCTCGCTTGAGCAGTCAGATGACACATCGAAGATGAGCATCAGGATCATGAATGATTGTGGGATGCTGAGGTTTGTGCGGATCGGACCTGAAAATCTTCTCCGCTCCTGCTAACCTGCCTCTTCGCATACCCGTTTGTGGACAAGCGGTAGTCGGCTTGAAGAGGACGAAAGCTCGTCAGAGCAGTCAAATGGCACACCCAACATGAGCATTGGGACCATGGTTGACCGCGGGCCGTTGAGTTCTCTGCGGATGGAACCATAAAATCATCTCCGTTATGGCTGAGCTGCCTCTTCCGCAGGGAAGTCTGAGGACAAGTTGTAGTCGGCTCGGAGAGGACGAGAGCTTGGAGGAGCGGTGGATTTGGAGGCCTGAGGTCGCCATTGAGGTCGATAGTAATCGTAAGTCGCAGAGATTCATGTAGATCGATCGTGAAATCTTCTTCATGCTTCATGAGCTGCCACTCCGTATGGGTGGAGACCGGGACTCCTCGCTTTGAAGAGGACGAGAGCTCGACGGAGCTGCTGGTCCAGAGGCTCAATATCGCCATTGAGGTCGTTGCTAGTCGCAAGGTATCGGGATTCGTGCAGGTCGACCAGTGAAATCCTCTTCACACTTCTGGATTGCCATTTCTCTGTGGGGTCGTGCAGATCTCGAGTCATCGTCTCACAGACGACGAAAGCTCGGAGGAGAGGCGAGTCTGGAGGCCCAAGATCGTTCTTGATGTCATTGGAAGTTGCAGGGCATTGAGACTGATGCACATCGACTCGTGAATTCTTCTTCATGCTTTCAAGGTGTCATTTCCACATGAGGTCGTGATGACCTTCAGCCATCGTGTCACAGACGACGAAAGATTCGAGGAGCGGCGGTTTTCAAGGCCCAAGGTCGTTTTTGAGATCATTGTGAGATATAGGATATTAAGATTGACGCGGATCGGATCGTGATTTCTTCTTCATGCTTCATGAGCTGCCATTCCCTGTTAGGTCGTTCACACCTCGAGACAGGCTCACAGATGACGGAAGCTCGGTGGAGCAGCGAGTTCAGAAGCCCAAGATCGCTATTGAGGTCGTTACCAAGTGCACGATATTGAGATTTATGCAGATCGAACCGTGGAATCATCTTCATGCATCATGCGCTGCCACTTCGGCATAGTGTTGCCGAGAAATCGTGTCATCGCTTCGCAGACAACCGAAGCACGGCGGAGCAGTGCGTGCAAAGGGCCAAGACTGTTATGGAGACCGGCGCGTGTTGC